GGGTCATGAACCACCTCAAGAGTTGATGGCCCTAAAAAAATCAGGAATGTTGAGATTCGAAAATCTATTAGCATTTTTTGGAATAGTACCTCAATGCCTATTTGTGCATGGAATATTATGAGATTTGGTGAGGTTGCCCTGCCAAGGTATTCTCTATGCTTACAGAATACTGCTCTTAACATCTTAGAAACCAATCAACTTTCATTGTGTTTTGATGACTTGGTTTATCTTCATACAAAACTACTCTCTTGTGAGAATAAGGCCTTTGTTTTGCCTAATACACACAGCTGCTTTGCCTTTTAGCGTTCAACAGTGTATTCCCGTGTTTTCTATTGTCTCAATATCACAATACCTCTCTAATTATCAGAAATATATAAGTAAGTCAACTGTAAAGTAGTACTTTAGCGTTGTACAAGACGATTGCTGGAACAAACAAGCAGAGAAAAACAGGGCTCAGTAAAGGAGCAAATCCAAGAAAAATGAGTCGCTTCGTGGTCCCTCTGTTGCTGTTATCAGTTGTTGTGGCAGATATCAACTTGCACAATCCAAGGTAACTTGTTAAAACCCTATTAAAAGTCATAAGTAATGTGCTCGAGTACTAATAATTTTCGCCTTTTCTGCTGCTGCTTTTTCGATCCTGCGCTATCTATAGAATGATATTGCAATTTCCAACGTATTTAAATCCCATCACAAATTTCAGATAGCAACTTTTTGGGATTGAAACTCGCGTATAATCTTGAAAATAGTATGTTGCCATAACCGTTGCAAGGTCTTGTCAGTCTTTAGATAGATTTTCTCGTTTATGCACTAGTAAATGTCCCGTTGGATTTCAAACCTGCAATTGAAAAAAAAATTGCCTGGGTATTGCGTTGTATCATAGTATGTATAAATAAGTAATTTTTAAACTATTTGTTTTTCCTTATTAATTCAGAGGAGGAAACAATCGTTTTGATGAAGATACAAGAGAACGAAGAAACGCCAACAGGTAAGACGACTGCACACTACGCGCTCAGTTTTTCCACGCATGCCCATCGGATTTCGCATTGTATGGTACGAGTTTGTATTGACCTAAAGTTGTAAAGGACTTCGACACTTCATAAAGCGTAGAGTGGCGGGTTTACGTTTTCAAATAATATGAAGTCTTGGTGTTTTGCATATTGTTCCATAACTACCAGCAAATTCAATTGCTTCTTAGATGTGTTCCTCATTGAGAAGCGTAAAGTTGTATAAGCGACACCCTGACAGCTCTGTAGTCTATAAATTTTCCATGATCTTGCACCCTCAGCGTCCCATAAAGTCGCAATTAAAAGAATAGAATTCAAGATGGCCGACGTATCGGTAAAAGCTTGCTGCTCAAAGCATTTCGTTTACATTTCTAATCTTATTTCATTCACAGGCTTTTTGACTCTCAGAACAACAACCGTGGTGGTCATAACGTAGGTGGCTTGTACTACTACACGGGATCACATCTACAGATACAATGGTTAGTACTTTAAAAAACACTTTATGAATGATTAGCATAATGATTATACATACTAAAAGTATCAAAGGCAGTTGAGTGCATCATATGCAAGTATACAGTCCTTTGACTAAACGTTGTCGTTGATCGGATCATCCCTACGCGCCTAGACCGAAAAGGATAACGGGTAAATTACCCAGAACTTGCGTCATTCAAACTGCTCGCCAGTTTAAATCTTTGCCGTATGCTCGAGGCATGGTTTTAGCAAATTAAATGGGATCGAAAAAAGCGAGCTCAAGACGTGTTAGATAACATATGCGGCAGCTAGTAACTGTGAATTAATTATTACCATGATCTTTTTCGGTCTAGGCGCGCGTGGTAGGGATGAAGCCGATCAAACGACAACGTTTAGTCAAAGGACTGTATATATAAGTACGTTGATCAATGAAAGAGATGCTTTTCCCTTTTAGGGCCACTTATTAAAACTCTTCTTTTGAACGACACCGACTGTTCTTTTTAGACACTTATTGTTCTTTCTAGAGAAGTGCAAATATTAGACACATAAAAAAATATTAAAACTAAATAGTGCAAACTGGAACAATTGACCCATAAAAATAATTAAAATTAAATGCTATGTACGAAACAGTGCGAAAACGTATGTCTCTCATAATTTATTGTTGCTATTCGCAGTGAATTTCATATTTAAGTTTATTTTTTGTGTCAAACTGCAAGATTTTTTCTGAGGACTTTTTTCTTTCACTATACAAAGGACCAATCAGCATTCGTGTAATGATCGTAATAACCACTGTGAGCTGGTCCTCCAGTACATGTGTGGGGACCTGGTACGAGATGGCACCACTGTATCGTAAGTATTCTATTTCATAACTACTGATCGACGACGTCAGTAAAGTAATATTCTCCATAGACCCCTTGCATGTGATGTCAAAGCAGCTCAATTTGGGGGACAAAACGAAACGATTCCAATCTCCTGAGAATTGGAACATATTATGTCCTCCAGATTGAGCTGCATTCCAAAGGGGTGCAAGGGATCTACATCTGTGCAGGCCAGAAAATTGCCTAGAAACCTCCCCCGGAAGCCTGCCCCAGCCTTAGCCCCCACCAAGCTTCAACCCGTCTCTTGTACGGTCTAGTGAAAGCAGAAACGAGTGACTTCTTCACAACTGCATTTGTTATGAGTACTTGTGATGTATGACATGACTTAATCTACTCTTATAGCACCATTCCAGAGAATAACAAGGACTGTTTGAACAATAACTGCACTACAGACTTGAGGTAGGTTAGAACAAGTTCAGTAATTAAGATAATCGGTCGCTTAGAACATATTACAGCTTCATGATGTTGAGTATTCTTTGACTGAAGTTAGGTATGGAATGCACGAAGACAGTGACTACTACTGGAACTGCAAGAACAGGGAAAGAAATAAAGGCTTGTTTACTGCTGATAGAGTGAGTGAAAAGTAAAATAAAAATAAGCCATTTCTTGACAGAAAATACACAAGCCAGCAAGATGTCGACAGCTGAATCTATTGGCCTTGAAATGGTTAACTATGAGCCAATTTTCGATTGGTCTTGAGATGGTTTTATATTCATCCCATTTAATTCTGCTCATTAGCTCGGCTTTTCCTGCGTGTGCGAATAGATAATTAAGTGGATCCAGCTCTAAGCTAAGATCTAGACCATCTTTATTGTTAGAATCTGAGGAACCGCGATACTGCTAGATTCACCCGTCAGAATGAAAATGGCCAACGACGAGGATATGAATGTCCTGAAGAGAAAGATTACTATCCCTACTGGCATCCTACACCATGGAGGGTGAGTATGTGTTTGTGCTCGTGTTAACATGGCATTTGCGCTTTTATGAGCGCAACAATACAGGCAATGATTCCTGAAAGGAAGTCTGGACAAAAATAACGTATAACGCGTTGTGCAATATTACTACTCGTACGCAGAGTTAGTTGAATGTATTACCATCCACTTCCCAACAACTTCTTTCGCACGAAGCAGAATCTAAAATATGTATAGTTTTCTTAATAAAAAGAACATTAATTGCGCAAAGGATGGTAGCATTCGGTTTAACACAAAAGACACTTGTTGCGCCAGAAGTTCCAACCATTGCGCATGTTGGCAGTAAATTACCATAACATGCAGTTAAACTACGGCAACAGTAACAACTAAGTATCAATAACTTAGAAAAGTACTATTAAAACAGCAATGAAATTAACTTTTGATGATGGAGTTAAAATTAAGATGTAGTAGCTAACTCAAGATAATCACCATCGATATATAATTATTGATACTTATTGCTCCTTATGTCACAGGACATTGCCATATTCACCAACAACGCTTCCCGATGTGATATGTACAGACGAGAAAGTGAGAACGTCAAAAAGAGGTCCAAATGCGTCGTTTCTGAGGGAATCCAGAGAACCCAGAAAAACTTTCGTATTCCAAACAACAAGAAAGACTGTGAGGTAGATACAAGACAAGGAGGCTCGTAAAGCATAAAGTTGCCAAAAATTTGAGCGCAATTTCTTGTAATATGAATTAGTCGTTTTTGTGCAAACCTTTCGGTTCACGAATGGCACAGTCTAATATTCAAAAATTTTAACAATTTTAAATATCAAATTTTCTCGTTTATCCTGTTAATTTATTTAAATCCAAAGAAACAAATAGAGCGTTTTCACTCACGTGATAAGGCAGCCATAAACAATAGAAACTTTCTGCACAGTATTTGCATAAAAATAGAGTTCAATTCCCTGAGGATAGAAAATGTATTGTTTTGGTAGGCCAATATGGCCGCTGTGACGTCACGTGAAAACGCTCTATAAGCTTGTACAAATGAATGTTGTAATCTCTTTTGCTGTAGCTTTTCCTTGATGATTTCTAGAACTACGTTTTCAAATTTAATTCGGTTCAGTTTGGGCTTTATTGCATCTGTGTTGTAATTTATTGCATCTGCAAACATTTCTAGTTTTCATCTACTGACATACCCAACATTGAAGATGTCTTTTGTTTTAAAGGTCCTCTTGTCCTTCCTAACAAACCATAGCATTCATTTGAAGTAAAGTCTTTACCTTTCAGGCTCTGAGGTACCTCGACCAATGCACTGGAAACCTAACAAGTGGACGATGGATGCAAGACCGTCATCATGGGTTGCCTCCACCAGAATGCATGCAGTCCATCTGGTCACGCGACAATCACCAAGGCAACACTTATGGTGGAGAGTTCATGTCTTATGACTGGCTTGTGCCAGATACCCCGCACGAGCAATGCGTGTTTAGGATCAGGTATGTTACGACTTTATGGCGGAAAAAACCTGGCGCAAGAAGAGGTGTGAGACGTGTGACATTATTTACGGTCATTTATTAACTTTGGGATGGCATTGCAATTTCTATACTAAAAAGAAAGAAGGATTTTCCAAGACTCGGATATTCCTACCCTTGGAAGAGGAATATCAATACCTTCTGCAGGAACTGGGTTTCTCAAAAGACATTTTTGTCCTGAGAAAACAAATGAGTGTTGTATCAATACCCTAAAACAACATATGATTAGCTAATAAAAGTCAGGGCAAGGCTAGCTCACAGATAGAATCGGAATTTAGCGTGTAAAGTTGTGCGTAGAGAGGAAAATCAGAGAACCTGGATGAAAAGCCTTGAATTAATGGAGATGACGCATCTATTTAATTTTTACAGGTACAACATCACAGCTGGTGAATATGATGGCTGGGATCCCGCTGTCAATTACAGGCTCAATAATGGAAAAATTGTCTATGACAAGAAGTATGGGCTGACGAACGCAGACGCCAAAGCCCGTGGATACCACTACAGGAATGACCCTGATGTCACGATTTTCAAGGATGCCCCTGGATTCAAGCTAAAGATCCAGATTAACACTAATCAGGATGCGAGAACATTCCAGGACAGGTCGGTGAAAACGCTGTTGATATCAATGTGAACTGATGTAGGGTTATTAAACATTAGCAATAGACCTCTTCGGCTTGGGGTAATGTTTCCCATTTCAGACCACGTGTCATTCCCTTGAGAACAAGATTCTTTGTTTTAGTTGTATCCATATTCATGTGTCTTCTCATGTGCAACCGAGCGCAAACCTTAAACAAAGAAATGATGCTCTAGGGAATGATATGTGGTCTGAAATGGGAAAACATTACGTCGGAGCCGAAGAGGTCTATTCCCAGGTTGAGGGAAATTGGTCTAGTTGACATCGCAGTGCATTTTGGGGCTGTTCTAGAGGGCTAGATAGGGGCTATCTTGAAAATATGTTCCCTCAAACAGCCCCATAATGCATTTCAATGCCAACTCGACCCAGTTTTTCCTCAACCTCGGAATGGCTAATACACTTTTATCTTGGGCGTACAACGGTTTCCCATGAAATTTCATTTCTTTAATTGTTTAATGGTTGGGTGTGACAAGAAACATGAACAACGATTCAATTCTAACAAAGATCCCTATTCTCAAGGGAAAGACACGGGGTCTATCAAGGTCCACTATTTCTACTATTGAAAAATATACAAACTTGACTAATGGGATATGACTAGTCGTTTAAGAAAATCTTAAGACGTCTCCTATAAAAACGTATATTTCTTTTCTCGTGGAAGTTGGACTTATACAAATTAAGATAATGTTACTGAAAGGTCGACCTGTGGAAAAACTCGAAGTGGTTTTCTTTTTCCTCGATTTAAAATACGATTATGTGTGATGAAACTAGGCAAACCAAATTCGGCTGTATTTTGAAAAATGAAGAGTTTTGGTATTCCTGGAAGGAATTTTGTACTAAAAAGTTGTCGAATTGTTACCTTTCAGGTCCCATACGTTCTCGATACGACGTCGTCCTTCACGCCTCAAGGGTAAACTAATTCATAACGTTAATGTCCGTGGAAAACGAGGCAACATCGTGCAAGTCTTTCCATCAACTGAATACGACTTTGTGCCTAACATAGTGACCGTGGCTGAAGGCGAATATGTTCACTTCCAGTAAGTGGAGGGCATATTGCAGGGCCGGGGCGGATCCAGGAATTTGTTCAGGGAGGGGTGCAGTGCACATAGTTAATCCAGGAAGGATTGCACCCCTTAGAATCAAAGGCAAAAAACATTATTTTGTATTGGTCAAATATTTGAAGTAGGGGCACAAAGTTGAACCAGGGAGGGGTGCGCACCCCCTGCACCCCTTCCCTCGATCCGCCACTGATATGGGGTTGGACGTTTAATGTTAGTTAAAATACAATTCCCACCCATTATACCTTCTGGTTTTGAGTGGTTAAAATTTGTGGGTCTCAAATGCTTTTTATTGGCAGAAGCAAAAGAACGCGTCTATTCTCATCATTGAAGGAAAAAAATAGATGAAATCGTGTGTTTCCTATTATTATTCTCGAACACGAAGATTAGTGTTTAGATATCAAGTGTATATATCGTAGTTGACGAAACCCTTTCTTAAACACCTCGATTCGTGTGAAGTTGTATGCCCATATTGGGATGGCCTATATCGCCTATCACCTATCTCATTGGGCACCGACAACCGCCATTTTTGAAAAATGGTGTATTTTTAATTCATGCTGCATGAACTTTTTTTTTTATTCAAGGTGGACTGGATCCAACAGTAACCCTAACAACAATGCTGGCGAAGGTCGAAGAGGTAGCGACAGGCACAACGTGCTACCATTGGCTGATCCAGTCTACTCGGAGGGTGTCTCACACGCATATACCTATGGACACTGGGGACGAAATTATCCAAAGTTCCTGAGAAATGCTCCCTTCCTTGGGCTATCACGTGATGACTTGATATCTCTTGCAATACTGAAACCACGTAATATTTTTTTCTTTTTTCAACATTCGTGTACCAGAAATTATGTTGAAAGAAAAAGTGTGGCGCATATTAGAGAATTTAGAGAAATGTTTGATTGAAGTCAATTGTACTCTTCAGCTTCAGTTTCAATGCTTATACATTTTTCGAAAAAGGCAATCACCTGCGCGCGCATGATGCGTCTATTTGCTGTTGATCGATAGTAGACAGCCAATTAGAGCGCAAGTTGTATGAATCAGTTTGATTTGCTAGCTATGGGTACGTTCTTACCAAATCGTCCTTTTTGAATGTTTCTGCAGCTTCTAAGCTATTGCATAGGCTTTGTTTTGGTCCTATCGATTATCAATCATTCCTTTTATGATTTGTAACAGAAAACTTCAGAGGAGACTTACAACAGCTTGATGACACAGGTCCGTACTTTGAACTTGGTCCACGTGTAGTGAAAGGCAAAGGGACATACTACTACATGTCCACTAGGAATAACAACTTCACTAACAGAAGCCAAAAGGGCAAAATAGTAGTTATTTAGCATCGAACGATAGTCACTCTTTCGATCGTAAATACAAGGAAAATTTGCCTGGAGTGACATAAATGGATGTGACTTTTTGAATTTCAATCGAGTAATAAATAAAGCATTCTTTGAATGGAGTCGTGTATTATTTATTTATTTGTTAATGCAATAGAGGTTGGTCACAATGGTTTCCTTTGCTAAATTTTTTTTAGATTTTCCTTGGATTGTTATTAGCCGGCATTCCATCTTGCTTTCCCATAATGCACTGCAAAGCCATTTCCATCAAGTTCATTTCTCAACCTCGGATTAATGACTACTACATACTGAACAACTTTAACCAACTTATTCTATAAATCCATTTTCAATTAGTCACGCAGTCAAATCTAAAACGGTAGTGTGTGACTAAACAATAGACGACAACGCATCAATGACCTATTCAAATTCATTGTTGAATTAATTTAAAAGAAAAGTCCCTTTTTAATTATAAGATTAACGTAGAATATCCCAAATTAACTGCTTAATAACGGGTTGATAGGCATAAACTTTAACAAGTTTTAAGGATTTCCCTCAAATTCTGTACATGACTGTCTGGTAGGATATCAGATCCTTCGAGAATCGTTTCTAAATACTCTCGACTCGGCTTCAAACCTTCTTTGATAAACTCATCATTAGCACGATAAGCAAAGGCTTCAACCACCTCACCATTGCTTCTTACCACTGGGACAGTAATTCGTCTATAATGGCCTCCACTTTTCACGTGTTCTTGGTCATTGCTGTCCATGGCGGCTTGCTTTATGGTGTAGAGAGCTCCATAGACTTCGGAGTTTTCCCGAGGTTCAATATTCGCGTAGCCATAACCATCGTTCTTCCAGAGACAGTTAAACTTCAAGCAGTAGTTTCTTAGGGTAGCACCTTCACGTGATTCGAAGTTTCCCACCCTGGCCAGAATTTTTCGTTTGCTTGTATTACTTGCAAAAGAAAAGTAAAACACTAGGTCCTTTTCCATGTCCACACGCTTCTACCAAAGACGCTATAGACCTTAAATAAGCAATCCTTTTCCCCGAGGTTGGTAATTTATGCATTTTCCGATGATTTCCGACGGACGAGATTCCGAAGAATCCGGAAGTGGTGTCTAGATGGCCGGCCACCACTCTGAATTTTTCCTTGGAAAAATAAGAGCACTTTTTTTCAAATCTCAAACCATTCTTTTGTCGTTTAGAAATGCCAAGTGCTGTCTTGAGCCCAATGCATGGATTTCAATTTTGTGAAAGTTCCCGTCCCCCGCACAGAATACGACTGACAATACTGGACACTTGGAAGACTAAAGCCCCGTTACACTAGCGATTTTTGCGGCGATTTTTGCTGCGATTTTGTCCATAATAAACAATGGTAAAGAATTTACTTGTAAAGTTTTTTTCAGGATACCAAGATTTTCCTAGAATGTCTCTTTTGAAGGATGAGACAAAAGATTTCATATTTCCTAAAATTGCCACAAAAATCGCAGCAAAAATCGCCGCAAAAATCGCCAGTGTAAACGGGGCTTAACATTCACCATCTAGATAGACTGCAGGTCAACTTCTCCACTCATCTAGTTTCTAATCCTTTGATGTGTATGTATTACGCCAATATAGCTTAACATTTACTATTCAATCGTGCAAGAAATTTCATTAAATGGTGTTTTCCTATTGGCGATTTTCGATCATTCACCAAGAGTGAAACAACAAAAGACACAGCGACCATGTTGGAAGTTATAACTAAAGAGATTGATGAAGAATCTTCTGTTAAATTTATCCAACATGGCAGCTGTGAAAACCACCAAGAAAATAAGTTGACAACAGACATGACAGCCATGTTGGTGCCATCAACAAAAACTTATTATTAGAATCCATCGTTAACAGAACCAAGATGGCCGCCATGTTTTTGACTCTCCTGGAAATATTTGCAACCCAGCAATAGATGTTGTTCTGGCGCAAAGGTTTCACCTCGCTAAAATTTGAGTCCATGCATCAAATATTTAAGACAAACCGTGCGGATTTTCCTAGATTGTAACCAAAAACGGTCCCATAATGCACTGCAATGCCAATTCCACCCAGTTTATTTCTCAGCCTCGGATTAATGGCTAATACATATAGTGAACAGCTTGAGCAAACTTCTAGCTTCTACATCTACATTTTCAATTCGTCACGCAATGAGTCTAAACGCATGAAGTGGTTGACTAAACAATAGACGGCACAACGCATCAATGACCTCTTCAAATTAATTGTTGAATTAATTTAAAAGAAAAGTCCCTTTTCAACTATAAAATTAACCTACGATATCCTAAACTGCTTAATAACGGGTTGATAGGCATTTAACAAGTTTTAAGGATTTCCCTCAAATTCTGAACATGACTTTCTGGTAAGATATCAGATCCTTCGAGAATCGTTTCTAAATACTCTCGACTCGGCTTCAAACCTTCTTTGATAAACTCGTCATTAGCACGATAAGTAAAAGCTTCAACCACTTCGCCATTGCTTCTTACCACTGGGACAGTAATTCGTCTATAATGGCCTCCACTTTTCACGTGTTCTTGGTCATTGCTGTCCATGGCGGCTTGCTTTATGGTGTAGAGAACTCCATAGACCTCGGAGTTTTCCTGAGGTTCAATATTCGCGTAGCCATAACCATCGTTCTTCCAGAGACAGTTAAACTTCAAGCAGTAGTCTTTCAGGGTAGCACCTTCACGTGAATCGAAGTTTCCCACTCTAGAAAGCATTTTTCGTTTGCTCGTATTGCCTGCAAAAGAAAAGTAAAATACTAGTTCGTCTTCCATGTCAGGTCCGTCTGCACGCTTGTATCACAGAGACGGTAATCGTATTATGCAATTCTGCTCCATGTGGTTGTAATTTATGCATTTTCCGATCTTTTCCGATGAACGACGGAGACTCCGAAGCAGCCGGGAGTTGTGTAATAGATGGCCAGTCGGAAAAAAACTTGTATGTCAGTTTATTAAACCTCATACCATACTTGACACTTGGGAAACATTCACCATCTAGACTGACGGTCCGCTTCTACACTCAACTAGTCTCAAATCCTTTGATATGAGAAGTATTCTATCGTGAAAGAAACTTCTTGAGTCGGAAGCATGTTACGTTTTGCGGAGGAAGGAATACCGGAGAACCTAGAGAAAAGCCCAAGAGGAAAATATAGAGGAAAACGAAGACGCCAACTATATGAAGGAAAACGAGGAAACCGAGGAAACCAAGGAAACCCAAAAATATGAAATGTCATTTAAATGTATACACCTACTTGCAAGAACGTTGACATACGATATTAGAACATTAGTGATTTACTGAGAAAGGAATACATTAAAAGACAAAAGAAAAAGTTCAGCTTCAGTGATCTTCTTTTGTTTTTTAATATAATTCCTATCCCACTAAATCACTAATGTTCTATTTTCGTATGACAACGTTCTTGCAAGTCGGTGTACRAAAGCATACCTTTTAGATAATTGCCCTTCTTAAAAGTATCGTGGATGCGAGGCTTACATGAAATATAAAAGAAATCACCCTTTTTCTCGATGGAATTTGTGACATTACTTTTGTATTTCCATGTTAGCCTCGCATTCAATAAGTTTTTAAGAAGTGCACTGTCAACACTACAGTATGCAGCAACAAGAATGGCCTTTATTTCGGAATGACTAAGTTCAGGACAAGAGGAATACAACCATTTCAGATTTTTCTGTAGACTATCTACTGTTGCTTTTAAAAGTTTGGGTTAAAAAGATATGTTATTTTTCAATATTTCAATATTAAAACATCTTAATCAAAGTTTATACCAATCTTGATTTTGGGCTTCCTGTGGCCGTTCATTTTGGGATTTCCTGTTTGATTCAACATGGCGTTGCAAAAGTTTCATTTCTTCAGCAAGAATTTCGGTGTTTTTCTCACCTTTTTACTCAAAGTGTTCAACAACTACAAAACAGAAAAATGTCATTTCCACCGGCTCCGAAATTACCATCTAGAAGGACAATTTATTTTGTGATAGTAAGCTTTGTCCTTTCCAATTCAACCAGTATTATAACATAGGTTAATACCATCTAGAAGGACAATTCATTTGTTAGAGTAAACATTTTCTGTTCAACCGTTAGGATAACAAAGTTTAATATTCATTCTAAAATTTTGAATTTTTATTAAAAAAGGAGAATAAAAGAGAAAAATAGAAACAAAAGCTTGAGTAGGTACTGGTTTTAGGTCACCCATCCAGGTGCTAACACTCCTTAGACGGGCTTGACTCAGAACATATTGAATTCCCAAGTTTTTTTCCACTGGACCACGGTTTCCAGGTGAATCAGCATAACAATAGCCATGAAAACAATGCACCGAATAGACTAGACTTTTTAACATT